GCATGAGGTCGTAGGCCAGGCCTGGGCAAAGAAACCAGTACCTCAACCGGCTTCCCTGAGCGTCACAGCTCGGTGATCGCGCCGGCCGGACACCACTGTAGCGTCCGTTCCGGGCGTTTGAACGCGACCTTCGGGGGCAAAGACATGGGCTCTATGGCTCAGACTGGACTCCTCTTGGTCCCTTCTGATGCCCTAGGCCACACCTGGGCCTTACCTGGGGTCCTAGGGGCCGGGCAGGGTTTGCCCCCCCCCAACTGGCCCGAAGAACCTTAAATTCTTCCAGCCGGACGGTCGGGCGACCCCCCGACGATATAGACGTGTGTGTGTGTGTATGGCGCTCCGCAGGAGCGCCGACTACGTCATAGTCGGCGCCGGCAGCGCCGGCTGCGTGCTTGCCAACCGCCTCTCTCGCACCGGCGCCTCCGTCCTCCTGCTCGAATCTGGTGGCGCCGGCGGTGAGACCTCCTTCGACCGGCCGTCTCTTCTCTCGAGGTGCGAGTGCCGGTTGTATCCTGGCCTCATCCAACCTCGCCGGGTCCCTCTGGCGCGCCAGTCGCGACCTCCTTCCTTCTCCTGACTCGACAGGCTTCCGACGGCGCTGGCGCTGCCGATGCACTTCGAGGGCTACAACTGGGGCTATCTGGCGGAGCCGGAGCCGGTGCTCCGCGGCCGCCGCGTCACCTGCCCACGCGGCAAGGGCCTCGGAGGCTCGTCCGCCATCAACGGGATGGCGTGCATGCCTCTCCCCTCGCCCAAACCCTTGCGTCGGACGCCTCTCGAGAGCTCGCCCGCCGCTTGCAGCACAATCCCTCGCTCATCGCCGCCCTCGGCCCGGCGGCGGTGCGTATGCTGCGACGTTTCGAGCAACCCTCGTGGCCCGCCGCAGGTGTACGTGCGCGGCCACGACCGCGACTACGACACGTGGAACGCCGGCTTCGGCGACGGCGGCGGTGGTTGGGGTGCGCGGCCCTTGCCGCCGCCGCCGCCGCCGCCGCCGCCGCCGCCGCCGCCGCCGCCGCCGCCGCCGCCGCCGCTGCCGCCGCCGCCCTCGCCATATCACCGCCACCACCACTTAGCCCAAGCGCCTGAGTCCCTCCCTGGAAGCTGTCCGACCCTTCACAGCGGCACAAATACGTACAGGCGCAGCGGACGTGCTGCCGTACTTTCGGCGGATGGAGACGGCCTGCGAGATGTCGCCAGGAACCTCCCCCGAACCTTCTCGGAACCTTCTCGGAGCGTCCGTGTGATAGGTCTGTGAGAACGCGCTCATGGGGGACGACAGTGACATCCTCCCGGGCCGGCGGGGCACGGACGGGCCTCTGCAGGTCAAGCACGGCACCAACATGCTCGGCACGCCGCTGTACGACGCATTTGTGCGCGCGGGCGACGAGGCTGGCTACGGCGCGACATACGACTACAACGGCTGCCGGCAGGAGGGCAACCTTTAAAGTCTCGGCTGTCAGCTCGGTCGGCTGTCAGCTCGGTCGGCTGTCGCCTCAGCTCTCCTCTCGGCTGTCACCTCGGCTGCCACCTCGGCGGGCTGTCACCTCGGCTGGCTGTCATCTCGGTCGACGGTTCATCTCGGCGCTCGTGGCTCGCAGGAGGGCACCTCCAAGATGCCGATGACCGTCTTCCACTCTGGAAGCTACAAGGGCGAGCGCGCGTCGTGCCGCGCCGCCTATCTCGAGCCGGCGATGGAGGCGCAGCCTCACCTCAGCGCTCTCTCGGCGCTCTCTCGGCGCTCTCTCGGCGCTCTCTCGGCGCTCTCTCGGCGCTCTCTCGGCGCTCTCTCGGCGCTCTCTCGGCGCTCTCTCGCCTACCTCGAGCCGGCGGTCGAGGCGCGGGTGCCACGCTGCCTTAGGCGCATCCGTCGCTCAGCGTGCAGCCAAACGCGCACGTGCGGCGCATCCTATGGGAGGATGGGGGCGACGCCCCGACGGCGAAGGGCGTGGAGTTCTCGGTCGGGGGTGGGTCGCAAAAGGCAGTCGCCACCGCCAACAAGGAGGTTGTCTTGTGCGCCGGTGCGGCCCCTTTCGCAGGACACGTTCGCGACACGTCCACGACATGCACATGTGCGCGTCCACCGTCATCCGCAGGCTCGATCGCCTCGCCGATGCTGCTGCAGCTGTCGGGCGTCGGGCCTCCAAAGCTGCTCTCGGAGCTCGGCGTGGGGGTGGTGGCGCCGCTCGAGGGTGTCGGGCAGAACTTGCAGGACCGCAGGGGGGGGGGGGGAGGGGGGGGGGCACTCCCAGCGTGCTGTCTGGTCGGCCCACGGGGCTCTGCCCACACTCCCACCGCTCTCACCCACGCGCATTTGCGCTTTGAATGCCGTGGGGCCCCTGTCCTGTAGGCGTGGAGTGGAGGGTCGCTTGTCCCTTTCCCCCACCCTCTCGCGTGTGTGGAGACCCCCCCCCCCCTGCAGGACCACATGGAGGTCTACCAGAGCTACGAGGTGCTGAAGCCCGTCTCGCTCGCCTCGCACCTCTCGCTCGCGGGCAAGGGCTCCCTCGGCGCCCACTGGCTGGTCACCAAGGAGGGGCTCGGCGCGACCAACCACTTCGAGGTCGGCGGCTTCGTCCGCTCGCGGCCCGGCGTCGAGGCGCCCGACATTCAGCTGCACTTTCTGCCGATCGGCATGTCGTACGACGGCGTCACGCTCGCGCCGTCCTCCACGGGACACTCGATGCAAGCTCACGTCGGCTACAACAAGTCCCCGTCGCGCGGCTACGTGCGCCGCCGAACCCCCCCACCCCCCCACCCACACAAGAAAAACCGGCGCATCGTCTCTGCCAAGGTTCGGCCCGCGTCGCCGCTGCCGTCGGACGGCCTGGCAGCCTAGAAGAAGAAGAATACGTATTATTGTATCCAACTGGCGCTCGAGAGGACACGTATTCGCTGTATTCGACCGTATTCAGCTGTATTCACTGCGTTCGCCTCCCTCGTATTCACGCGGTGCTGTGAAGCCTCTGCACGATGCCGGCGTATTCATTCCCTGAGCCCCGGATTTAAGATACCTCACACCAATATCGTGCAGGCGGGGACCCACCATCCATCTCATCAGCATTGCCCGCCTTATTTACTTGTTTATTCGGCGTATTCCCCCTGCAGGCTCGCCGGTGAAGCCGATCGCCCGCTTCAACTACATGTCGACCGACGAGGACTGGCGCGGCTTCCGCGCCGCGATCCGGATCACGCGCGAGATCATGGCGCAGCCCGCCTTTGACGGCTTGTGCGGCGACGAGATCCAGCCGGGCTACGCGGCGCAGACCGACGCAGAGGCAAGCCCGCCGCGAGCGTGGTCCCCGCCGCGAGGCCCGAGAGGAGGCGGCCGAGAGGTTGGGGCGGCCAGAGCGAACGCGTGCCGCGAAGCCACCCTGCCGCCTCCGCACGCCGTCCGTTTACACCCTCTCCCGTGCCTCCCCCCACCCTCTGGTGGCAGATCGACGAGTTTCTTATCGAGCACCTCGAGTCTGCCTACCACCCGTGCGGCACCTGCAAGATGGGCCCAGTCTCGGACCCTAGAAGCGAATACTTGTATTCTTGCATCCCAACTAGTGCTCGGGAATGCTCGAGAGGACACGTGTTCCGCTGGATCCGACCGTATTCAGCGGTGCTGCGAGTGCACGGCACGACACCGTCTTCCCGCTCTGATGCTGTGCAACAATGTAGGCCTCGGACCCCACCGCCGTCGTCGGCGCTGACGGCGCCGTCCACGGCGTCCGCAAGCTGCGCGTGGTGGACGCGTCCCTCTTCCCTGTCATTCCGAACGGCAACCTGAACTCGCCCACCATCATGACGGCGGAGAAAATGGCGGACCACATCCTCGGCCAGGGCATGCTCCCGCCCGACACCGCGCAGGCGGCGAAGACGTGGGTCGACCCCGAGTGGCGCTCGCGGCAGCGGGAGAGGGCACCGAAGGTCAAGACGTGGGATGGCGTGTTTTGAGGGGTGGCCGCTAGACCGGGCGTTTGTGCGCGCGGGTGGGTGTGAGCTTGCGTGGGTGTGGGTGCGGGTGCGTATGTTGCGCTGTCAGCTGGTTGCTGTGGCTGCCGCGTCGTTATGGCAGTGCTGCGCGACGTGCGAGCGCTGGCGTTGCCGCATGCGTTGCCGTTGGCTTGGTTTCAGAGACGCCCACGACACTCGACACGCGCCGCTCGATCTCTTCGAAAGACTTAAGCGGGACACGGCAACGGCATGTAAGTCTCGAGATGTAAGTCACACAGTCCGCTTTTTTCAGACATGAGCGGTGTTGCTATGACTAGACAGCGCGAACGAACCGCGAGAACGGTAGTTTCTGCACACGGGCATCCTGTCGAGGAAACGCCCAACCATCGTCCCGTTGGCGGCAAATCCCGTGTTTCCCGGCGGCGCGCTCAGTTTCGCGACGCGAAAGAAGGGGTTGAAGCCCACGTGCCCGGTCGCAAAGTATCGAGACATCGGTCCGCCGCTCTCGGCGTCGCACGGGCCGCACGCACACGCGAAGGTGACGCCGTGCCGATGCGCAACCTCCTCGTGGGCGAGCGGCTCCCCTCCGTAGCTCTCGATGGACGCTGCGTCCCGGTGGTAGTTGCGGTTGCGCGGGTTGCGCGTGGCGCACGCTAGCGTCCACCAGTCATCATACCGAATGACCGTGCCCACGCGGGCGAGCCCGTGCTCAAAGACCCAGTCGAGCGCCTGCCTGGCGCTGATGTAAAGGTCGCTGTCAATGTCAATGAAGGAGGCGGGCCCAGAGGTCCGCAGGATGCGTGCAGCGAGCTGGGGCGTCAAACTCTCGCTGTACATGCCGGGTACGAGGTGGACCTTGCGCTCTGGAAAGCCCTCTGTAATTGAGGCGTGCACGCGCTCGACGGCGCGAGCCACCGCGGCGTGCTTGTCCTCACTGGCTGCTGGGCCCGACCCGACACTGGAGAGGCTACCTGGGCTCCACGCGAGAGGGCGCGGCTGCCCCTCCGCCTCTGCTGGTAGCCCGACGAAGGAGTCGAACCCCCAGAAGACAGGCTTCCATCTGAAGTGTTCCCCGAAGCCCTTCAGGTACGAGCCGTTGAGGACGCCAAACTCTAGTACAGTCCCGATGAAGAGATTGTCGCCCCAGTCGGATGCCCAGCCATACCTGCAGATCCGCGACAGGGCAGCCCGGGCCAGCCCGGGGCCCGTCAGGTGGCGGCGCTGCGCCCCTGGCTGGTGTGGAGGCATTGCCTCAAGAGGCGGAGGGGGTGGAGGCAGCGGGGAGAGCGAAGTGCACAGCCGCCCCAACACAGCGCGCAACGCAAAGTTCTAACCTCTTCCAAAGAAAGGAACTTTTCAGTGTACGTACTTATAGCTTACTGGGAGAATCTCTCTCAGTGTACGTACGTACTTATAGCTTACTGGGAGAAAAGAGAGAGGGGGTTGTGTTCTCTAGGCCCCTAAGGGCCCTACGCGCGGCGTGAGAGCTCGGAAGCGAGCTTTGCACGGCGATCGAGGATGGCACGGTTCACCCCCTTCACCGAAGCGATGGAGATGCGTACGCCGGCTTGAGATCTCCCAAACCTTCGTCGAGATTTCAGCCACAAATCTCAGTTTTTTCGTCGCTCGGTGTGAGAAGAGCCCAAAGAGGCACGCGAACGGGGAACGGGGAACAGGTGGGCGATATCCAACCGACCCCGCGAATCGGGATCGGACCCGACCGGAGACAACACAGGACACAACCAAGACCGGAGCGGACCGGACACTGGAGACCGAAAAAGATCGAACTCGACAGGATACTGGCTGGGTACCGTGGGGTACCGCGTTCAACCTGTGGCACTTCCCACATGCCGCCGAGGCCCAGCTCGCTTGCTGGTCGCTCTTCTGTCGATTCCCCAAGCTCGTACCTCGATTTGCTGTGGGATCTTCGGTGGCCTTTGGCAAGGGCTCGTGGACTCAGGGACAACGCAAAGCCGCGGGCAGAAAGCGCTCGGGTGAGTGCACTCCGAGTGGTCGCCTGCGGGTGCGTAGGGATGGTTGGGTCCCGCAGTTGTGGCTGATTGACACGGCGGATGCAGCTGCTCTTCAGCACCGTCTGTTCGGTACGCAGATGATGGCATTGGAGAGCCAGCGGCGCGCTTTGCATGTTGGCGTTATGAACCGCAGAGGAAGTCGGAAGATTGTAGGAGCTGACAGCCTAATGGGCGGTTTCGTGCAAGTACTCAGCCGAGATGTTCGTACGTACACATTGAGTCACGTCGACGAGGTGGGCGAGCTGTCCTTTGCGGAACAGGCCGCGTGGACTCATAGCCAAGACATCCTCTTTGCACCGCGCGGCGCTCAAAACATCAACTTCCTGTGGGTACGGCCGTGCACAGTCATCCTGGAGATCTTTCCTCACTCATACTACATTCCAGGCGAATACTTGCAGCTCGCGAAGGCTGCTGGGGCCATCACTTTCTCCGCCTACGACGGCTTGCATCCTGAGCACGACACACTGCGCACTCCATCCGACTTTCACCTTCGGGTCACGGCCAGGGCCGCCAGCTTCACAACGTTCGACATTCGTGCAGCAGAGCGCGCTCTAGCAGAAATGCGCGGTACAAGGATCAAGTGTCGCCTCTGGGGGTCCCCCCCCCCACCCACCCACTAGCCCCCTAGGCCTAGCACTGTGGTGTGGGCAGAAGTGCGCCCCCCCTCCCTGGAAGCGATGTGCGCCTGCTCCTGGGATGAGAATCCTCGCCACCACCGCCGACGGCGCCGTCTGGAGCTGGGGCGGTGGCCACGGCGACCAGCAGGACCAGCTGCTGCCCAAGAAGGTCGAGGCCTTCGCGGGTCAGCGTGTCGTCGCTGTGTCAGCTGGAGGCGAACATAGCCTCGCCCTCACCGCCGACGGCGCCCTCTGGAGCTGGGGTGAGGGAATTTTTGGCCGGTTGGGCCACGGCGACCAGCAGAACCAGCTGCTGCCCAAGAAGATTGAGGCCTTTGCTGACCAGCGCGTCGTCGCTGTGTCGGCTGGAGTATTCCACAGCATCGCCATCAGCGCCGACGGCAGCGTCTGGAGCTGGGGCTATGGAGGGGCAGGCTGGTTGGGCCACAGCGACATGCAGAACCAGCTGCTGCCAAAGAAGGTCGAGGCCTTGGGGGGGCACCGCGTCGTTGCTGGGTCGGCTGGAGGCAGTCACAGCTTCGCCCTCACCGCCGACGGCGCCGTCTGGAGCTGGGGCTATGGAGGCGATGGCCGGCTGGGCCACGGCGACACGCAGATCCAGCTGCTGCCCAAGAAGATCGAGGCCTTTGCTGACCAGCGCGTCATCGCTGTGTCCGCTGGAGAGCGCCACAGCCTCGCCCGCACCGCCGACGGAGCCCTCTTCGCGTGGGGCCAGGGCGATCGCGGCTGCCTGGGCCACGGAGAGGACTTGTCGAACAAGCTGCTGCCCAAGAAGATCGAGGCGTGGGCGCTGGGGTAGTGAGGTATCGGGGAGTCACTCTGTGCCGTTTAGCGGCGTAGCTGCACCACAGGAGCTTGTTGAAGCCAGCTCGCGCGGGGGGGCGGTGCGGTGAGCATGTGAGCGAGTTGGGCTGACGGCTGAGTGGTGCCATGTTTGGACCTCAAGCAGTGGTGGGTGAGGGTCGGTGAGCCACTCTAGAAGAATGCGATGTAATTTTCTCGCCACCCTCGCAGGAGTCGCTTAGGCGGCTCCCGTGGTGTATCTGATACCTGTGTTAGTGCCAGTGCGCGCCAGTCCCGTGCCCAGTGTTGTGCGAGGGAGCTTTGTTGTATAATTTTCTTTCTCAAAACACACTCAAGGAATCCAAACAAAGAGAAAGAAAGAAAACAGACACTACAAGGGACCGACCATAACGAATAAATAAATAAATAAAACGGACTTCATACGGATCACATGGTGGCTCTCTCATGACGGGAGACCGCCCGACCACTCCTGGGTGGCACTGCCACCGGTGTCGCTCGACGTCCTGTCGACAGCGTGCCGACAGCGACACAACCATGTGGTACGCGTCGAGTATCGACCTCTACTGCTTACCCAGCCTTCGAGTGTATCCTGGCTGTGGTCCCACACCCACTGGTGTCCATCTCAGAGACACCGCAGGAGGTCATGAGGGTCGATGGGAGTGCCAACCCCACAATGCCTAATTAAACCCAGCCCAGTATGTTTATTTTATTCGTGCTACCAAGCGCAGTCAACTCACTTTTCGCCGCTCATACACTTAAAGAAGGGGGGGGCGGCCCCAGCCGCCGCGGCAGCGGCTCCCCCCCCGCCATCAGCCGCGTCCACATGGCCTGCACGCCCTGCGTCCCCTTCTCGCCGCGCGCCTGGTGCGCGACCACGTGCAGGAGGGCATCCTCCAGCCGCCGCAGCCGCGGCGGGTCCTCCGCGCGCACGAGCTCCCACGCGTCGCGGAAGCCCTCGCCGCGTCAGATTGCTGCGACGCGCGCTTCGATGCTCGCGACGCGCGCGTCGAGCCCAGTCGCAGAGCCGCGCCGCTCCAGCAGCAGCATCTGCACCAGCAGCAGCACCATCACCACCACCAGCAGCAACAGAGAGAGGCAGTGCAGGCGCAGAAGCGCTCGCAGAGCGGCGCGCAGCGCCGCGCACGCCACGCTGCGGACCGTCGGACGAGCGCAGCGTACGTCGGCGGCGAGCCGCGTCGCCAGCCGTCTCGCGAGAGAGCGGCGCCGCCGCGTGCGCGCAGCAGCCGCCGCGGCAGAGGCGAGCCGCGGCACGGCCGCACAACTGATAACTGCCATTGGCGGTTTTTCACACACACACACACACACACACACACACACACACACACACACACACACACATGATCCGAGTTGGAAAAGCCGTCTAACTGCCATGTCACGGCCGGTCGGCTGCTGCTCTCGCCTCGCTGGCGGCGCAGTCCAGTGCCGCGGCTCCCAGCTCTCCGGTGGGCTCGCGGCGGCTCGCCGTCGCGGTGCCGAACAATGTGATCAGTCCGGATTCGTCCCGGAGTGCCGCCGGTGCCGCTTCCTCGCCGATTTTTGGCTCGACCAGTTTGTCGACAAAGTTGCCTCCGAGCTCCTGCTGCTCGACTACGCGGCGGAACCGGCCCATCGCGGCTGAGACGTGATGCGCCGGCACCGGGGCAACGGCGCGGGACCATTTCCAGGCTCTCTCGAGCAACCTCAAATTTGGCCGATTTTGTGATCTCAGCCCTGCTGCTCTCTGACCACAACCTCGCGGCCCGCTGCGCGGCTCTCCGAGCGCGAGAGGAGTCGTCTACGAGGCGGCGGCGAGCGCAGGCGGCGGCGGCGCGGCGGCGCGGCGGCGGATCGCGGCGCAGACAACGGCAGCAATCTGGCTGCTGCTTGCTGCTGCTGCAGCTGCTGCTGCGGCTGCTGCCCCGCTGCCGCTGATTGTGGACACGATTCCCCCGACAACCCTGCCCGCCCGCTCCGCCCCGCCCGCCCGCCGCTCCCCGCTTGATTGTCCGCACGCACAACCAGCGGCACGCCCGCCCGCACGCCCGCCCGCACGCCCGCCCGCACGACCACCCATTCCCATCACCATCTCACATACCTTCATATAGGCGCTCGAGACCTCCTCTCGCTGCCTACTCGCTGCCTCGAGGGAGGAGGGGAAGACGTAGGGTTGAGCTGGACTCGCCTTTCCTGAGGCCCCTCCCCGAAAGGGCAAGTATTAGCCACATGAAACCGAGACCCCTCCCCACCGCCCTGATCCCCCCACCCCCTTGCTCCCCTCCCCCCCTCGGGAGGGCCGAACTGAGGCGCCCGTGGGGACCCCGCACTTCCCTTCCCCCCTCGGAGGGCCGGACTGAGGCGTCGAGGGCCCCGCTCTTTCCTTCGCATAGCGGCCACTCTTCGGATCGCTGGTCGAGCGACCCGGGGGATGCCCCGCGCGCCTGACCCAGGCGCGAAAACGAATCTGCGAGGCGTGGCCGCTCACGCGGCCCGATGGGGAGGAACGGGGCGAGCCCCCTCCAACCCACCCGCGCTAGGTCTCGGGGGACGAAGGGGTCACACCCGACGACCTCGGGAACTAGCCGGGGCAGTCGGAGAAGGGGCAACTCCGTGCACTGACGGTCGGCCGCCAGAAAACACGCCTGCGTGGATCGCGTCACACCAATCCTCGCTACCCAACGCGGCCAAAGGATATCCACCTCGAGAACCTCGAGAACACACACACACACAACACAACTCTCACACACACACACACTCGGGTTAGATCTACCCTCTGGTTGTGGCACACACACACACAGGCCTCTTCGACACCCCTGCACCTATTCCCGCCCTGCCACTCCCCTTCTGCGTGCCAACGCGCCCCCGTGCTCCCCAGGCGCCTGCGCTCCGCTCTCTATTCGATGCTGCTAGTGTCCATCGCCACTTCGGCCCTGATGCCGCGCGCCTCTCTGGCGCTCTCGTCGCCGGGTGCTGCCGCCATGCGTGCTCGGCCGACGATGCTGGCCGACGCCGCGCAGCTGGGAAGCGCGCTGCTGGCAAACGGGGCGGCGGCGCAGGACTTCACCCCCTTGCTGCTTGGGCAGGCCGGCGTGTGCGGCAGCATGCTCGTCGGCGGCTACGGGCTCGAAAAGTTTGGCGACGTCCCAGAGCCAAAGGAGGTGGGTGCGGAGGACGGCGCGGTTGACATCTACCGCGACTCGCCGCTGCGGTACTGCGGCTATCTCAACGAGGTGGGCGAGGCCTTCCGCCCGCTTATCCCCGTGGAGATTGTCTACCTGTCGTGCGGAGCCGCTAGATGCCGCCACCGCTCTTGCCTCTCCCTCTCCTCTCCTCCCACGCTTCCGAGGCGTCCTTGGCCGGCCGGCCCCACCCCACGCTCGGCTGGAGCGCGCCCGCAGGTATGTGGGCGCAATCACGTACATCCTCGCAGACACCCTCGACAAGGGCCGCAAGGGCGGCGCGCAGGGCGGCGAAGGCGCGGCCGGATGCGCACCCCCAAGCGCGCGACCGGCCGCCTCCCCGTGAAGCTTCTCGGAACCTTCGTGCAGGCGCCGTGGTGCGCGCCACGTTTGGCGCCGTCGACACCTTCTCGTGGCAGATGCCCGCCGACTCTAGATGCCCGGCACAGCGTCGAGACTGCGGCCGTTCGACGGCTTCCCCCCCCCAACCACCACCACATCCACCACCACACACACACACACACGCACCGCACCGCACCGCCACCCTCTGCCTCCCCTCGCCCTGCGGCAGGCTCGCGAGCGTCGGCGTCCAACTTAATCAGCCAATTCGCTCCTTATTCATTCATTCATCAGGCTCGCGAGCGTCGTGTTCCCGTCCTTTTGCATCAACCGGCTCGTCGTCATCCTCGTCTCGCTGCAGGCGCAGGCGTACTGCCCCGAGGCGCTGCAGGTGGGGCGGCGGCCGCACTTCGGCCGCACCTCGGCCGCACCTCGGCCGCACCTCGGCCGCACCTCGGCCGCACCTCGGCCGCACCTCTGCCGCTAGGCGGGGTGGCTGCCGACGGCGGCGGGGCTGCTCGCCATTCCGGAAGCCCCTTCTTGCCGCTCGCCTGAACTCGGCGGACCTCGGCGGACCTCGGCCCCACCTCTGGTAGGCTCTCATCGTTCCGCTCGACGTGCCACGCGCGCCCGGTGCGCCACGGCGGCTGTATCTCGGCCGTATCTCCGCCGGCCTGCTGTGCAGGTGCTCGCGCATTGGGTGCTCAACGGCTCGCTGCGCAAGGTGAGCCCCCCCCCCCCGAGCTTTTGTACAGGGGGCCGGGGGATATCCAGACGAAAAACATGTGCCGTAGACCCGCGGACGCGCACGGACATGCCTCCCCTACGCACCTCTCCAACACTTGATTTTGG